TAGCTTAAATTAAAGGTTTAATTACATAAATTAGTATCTTATTTTATATATATATAAACACACACACACACACACACACACACACACACACACACACACACACATATCTATACATATACATCTACATATCTATATCTACATATCTATAATTAATAAGATACTAATTTATGTAAATAAACCTTTAATTTAAGCTGAATGCTTTTATTTTGCAAATTAGTGAAATATGCTGTACTGTCATCAATGTCATTGGTATTAAAAATTTGTTATTAAAACTAATATGCATAACAATGTGTTGAAAAAATATGATCCCTTCGTTAAACATCAACTGGGAAATAAAAATTTCCAATTCGGGCTAATCATCTTGTCTATATATATATATATATATTACAGGTGAAGCTACACTGGTCTCATGTCTCATGGTTTGATTCGGTTGTGATTATCATGCCATCAATACAGTTTAATTCGATATCTCGGTGCATCGACGATACTTTCCATACACAACTTTGTATTTCACTTCACAGCACAAGAATTCTTATATTAAAATGTATAAATAGATTATATTTATATATTATTTGCAATATAATTTTGTCCTTTAATACAAACAGTCAGAACTGTATCTTTAAAATCTCAAGTACAGGCACAGAACAACATGAGCATTTATAGCAAATAAAGAAATATAAATATCCCGCTCGCTTTATGAGCCCTGTCCACCGAGTTCTTACACCCCTTTAATTGGTCACATGCTCAACAGAAAAAGCTGCGACTGGTGCGGAGGAGAAAATTCGCTCTGCAGATGCGCTCGTGTCTGTTTCCAAAAGTATCGCTGTAACAGCTGTGAGGAGAGGAAAGGTCACTCCAGCAGGTCAAAGAGCCACAGAGAGAGAGAGAGAGAGAGAGAGAAATATGAAGTTTACTTTCATTTTCTCAATCACAGTGAAAAAGGGGCTTCTGCTGTAACTTCCGTAACTTCAGTGTCAGTGAAAAGACAGTCCAGCAAACACACACACAGTGAATTGTGCAGAGTTTCTGCGTCTTTAAGTAGTTGGATTGTTTTAATTACTCTCGCCTCCCTCACTATAGTAAGCTACCGCCACACAGCGCATGTGAGAAAAATGACATAAGTACGTAATAACCTGTTATGATGTATTACTGAACCGATACCAAATTGTCTGTGTGTACCAAAGAAACAATTAATTTTGACACCCCTAATATATATATATATATATATATATATATATATATATATATATATATATATATATATATATATATATATATATATATATATATCTGGGCTGGGTAATTAATCAAAAAGTAATTGAAATCGACATTCAAAACCTATAATAGATCAAGTTTTTCCATGTCATTTTTTTTTCAGAACCCGCTCTGTTGAGGCGGATTAATACTTCTTCAGCCACTTTTTTACATTGAAATATTGGTTCACACAAGATGCAAGAAATGCACCATTTAAAATATTATTTATAGGATATAAAGGAGTTATTTTATTTAGAACAGACACTACTTATTTTGTACAATTAATATGAAAAACACTGAAAATAATTTATTTTTTCAGGTTATTTATTTGAACTTTTTATAAGAAAAGTTTGTTTTAGGCAATGTGTGTTTTAATTTCAGTTATTCAATGTTGATGTTCAATAAATAATCATGGATAATAGATAGTTTGTGTTTCCTTCATTTTTTTTTAAATCAAGTAATGCACCCTTTATTCAAAAATCTTTCACCTGTAATATGTGAGCATAGTTACTGTACAAAACCTGTCAGTAAATTATGAGGGCAAATAAATTAAATATATAAATAAAATAATTGATTAATCAGTATGTATCTGAATAACGACTACCCAGAAAAATGAAGCACTGTTGATTTTAGCAGGCTATTTTATCCACACAATATGCAGGTGTTTCCATGAAGATAAGGACTCAATTTCAAAATGATGTTCTACATAATTTAATTTACAATATGAAAAGTGACAGCTGATAGAAAGAAGAGATAATTCCTTCGGGGGGAAATGCTGGTACACACACACACACACCTATCAAAACGCATATGCTACAAAGTGATGTATATATTAGGACATTTTTAAATAATAATGTCATTTTTAAGGAGACTAAGGCATCTTAACAGTATAATCTGACACCGATACACTGATTCTGAAACTGATAATCTGATTTCTCTCATGACAAAGGCTACAATCAAGTTCCTTTTAGCTGCCAAGAAAGCAGAGAACTGAAACATCTTAATATTGTTGACAAGTTTAAAGGGTTCTAAGTATGGCTTGTATATATAGGTGCAACATTATGTACAATGGGAATATTTATAATAATAATAAATGTTTGAATTGTGGATGTGTGTTTTCAGCTGCTGTACAATATGCCTAAATTATAGTATATTAAAGTTCAATGGCCAGTGCCATTAACGTAGTAAATATCTTTCCTATGAAAAATAAATTAATATAAAAAAAAAATCACAATTTCATGTGAAGAATAACACTGCATTTATTCTGAGTGTGATTACTTGTAGACGGCAGAGGGGGGCACCCAAGGTAACAATATATAATGGCCAGCAGGTCCTGATGATATAAAGTTCGTCCACATGGGGGCGTCACACAGGTCAGTGTCACAGTGGCCTCAAAGCCATACAGTAGTCACCATTATCCGTGTCAAACGATTAAACTGGATGTCTGGGATTACTTTGGTTGACTGTAAGAAGAGTTTAAGCAGTACTTCAATATATTAATTTTATATTAATAAATATGCTTTATGGGATTAAATAAAGATGAATATTCACCAGGTTTGAACAATGATAAAGACTTGGGAAATGCTACTGTAATATAAGACATTGGATTGGTGTAACATTGGACACCAGAGGTTTATTGCTGCCCATTATACCGTTAATTTTCCAGGTTGAGTACTTGTTAAGTGTCCTACATTTGATTGCAGTGTGTTTTAGTAGATTTTCAAAAGCATTGCTCGAGGGAGGACAAAGACACTTGATTGTGAAGTGGGACTAAATGTTATTTAATTCAATAAATAATATGCACATTTGCTGGGAGTAAAGTGGCTTTTCCAATAATAAATGACCAATAAAATGCTTTTAAATATTGCACAAATTAATTTGTTTGTTTGTTTGTATTAATAATTATTATTCATGATTTAATTACAAGATAGTTTTGTTGAGCTTCTATTTTAATAGCTGTAACAATATGAAACCTGCAGCAGCAATATTATTTACAATGTAACAGAGACAAGTTTAGGTTAATGAATGATTCTTACAGGTGATTTAGATGATTAAATGCCCTTCAAGCTGCAACCCAGTAATGGGAAACATCCATCCACACTTGTTTACACACATATATGGCCAATTTAGTTTATTCAATTCAGCTGTACTGCATTGTTTTTGGGCTGTGGGGAAAACGGGAGCACCAGGAGGAAACCCATGCTAACTATACTGAGCCATCATGTCGTCCTTAATTATGACATGAAACGATGAACTGCACAGCATAATTATTCTGATTTTTAAACTTTATATACATGTTTTTAAAAAGTCTAGAGAACATTTTCAGAATAGTGCCACTTTAATGCTTTATCTGAAAAGCTTTTAAAAATAACAATTTGTTGATTTTTTCCCTAAGAAATCCACTCATGAAGGATGCATTTTCAATTTTAATTAAATAACAAGTTTTAAAAATTTTGTCAATTTTGTCAAATTTTAATATTTTTCAGTGTCATTACTTAAATCTTTCTGAATTTATCCGCGTTTGTTGATTTGATAATTTACTTAATCTTATTACCTTAAGTAATACACATTTCCAACTGTTTTCAACTGTAACACTTTTTGATGTTGTTTTTATTTTATTTTGATGATCCCTGTTGCACATTTTGTTAACTAAAATTTGCATTGCAACCACTTGTCAATTAATTTCTTATTTGAGTATTAGTAGACTGTCTGCTTTATATCTGCTGATACTGCTCCTTTAACAGACATTTAACTGACTAAAAGTGTCAAAAGTATATGTCAACTTACACAAACCCTAACCCCATCCTAGTCTTATAATCTAATGAGAGTTAGTTGGCATGCAGATGCAATTTAAATTGAATTCAACAAAATGCGTTATAGGTCACTTTAAAATAACGTGATACCCAAAAATAAATTACAGTTGAAGTCAGAATTATTAGAGCCCCCATATATTTTTCCCCAATTTCTAAGATTTGCAACACATTTCTAAACATAATACTTTTCTTCTGTAGATCATCAGAAAAAAATATTGCTTAAGGGGGATAATAATATTGAAAAATAAAAAAATAAAAAATTATAGGAAATACCGTGAAAACTTCCTTGCTCTGTTAATCATCATTTGGCAAATATTTAAAAAGGAAAAAAAACTATTAGCAGCAGGGCTAATAATTTTGCCTTTAACTATATAGAATTTTATTTTGTTTTCAAACTTTTGACCATTGTTTTCTAACTTTGAAAATTTTGAACTATGAAACAATTACAAGATAAATAGCCTAACTTTCAAAACAAATGTAAGAAAAATATCAAACAAATAAACTAAAATACACAATAACAAGTAGGCCTAAGTCACAATAGCCTTTTTTTGTCTTGTGTTATTAAAGGTAACACCCCAGAGTAACAAGAGCAGCTAGGAGGAGTTTGCATTGCATCATCATTAACCGCGTGACGTTGTCAATAACTCTCAACGAGGAAAGTTAAATATTGAGAACGAAGTGGGTAAAGTGAGCTGAAACACAGTACCTATGAGATCAATCACTGCTGCATTCCGACAGTAGCTACAAAATCCACTGGCAAGCCAGGTGAGAGTCGCCTTCTAGGAAACATCCAGACTCACAAGCACAGCTGAATGGCTTATAATTTCAAAAGTCTCGCCTGCACTTTCCACTGAGGCTTTTCTTTGCTTGCGCACTGGAGCGTATCAAGTTTGCATATGATGAGCCTCGAGGGTTTGTGAGAACAGCTCATAAATGTCCACTAAAGCGGATAGGGGCGCACAGGTAGATGCGACCCACCTAGAGTGCCTGAAAGCGGAGTGGGTTGCAGACTGCGCCGGACGGGAGGTCATGGGCACGGATGAAGCTCCCGCGGCGCGCAGGCTCAGCCGCAGCCCGAAGTGCGCTCGCTGCAGGAACCACGGCGTCGTGTCGCGCCTGAAGGGCCACAAGCGCCTGTGTCGCTGGCGGGACTGTCAGTGCGCCAACTGCCTGCTGGTCGTGGAGAGGCAGCGAGTGATGGCAGCTCAAGTCGCCCTACGGAGACAGCAGGCCACAGAGGTTGGTGCACTGAGCAGAGCAGGGCAGTAGTGCTCCGGTTGAACTAAAATGTCATTTGCACAAACTAAAATAAAATAGTAACTCCGACTCCGAATTGGTTTTGAGCAGATATATACTTGGCGGGCGCAGGCATGAACAAACATTTCAGCATCGCTTTCTAAAAATTACACATGCAGACAATTATTAGGCAATTATGTACAGTATATAGGCTGTTCGATTTGTAGGCTATATTAAATTAAATACGAAACATGTTTGTATTGATGTCGCAGTCCTTACATAGTTATTTTTATGCGAAAAGTGAGAATATACAATCGCAGTACATAATAAAGAAAATGCAAAAAAAGAAAACAACAACAACAAAAAACATAAACAAACAAAAGGGGCTTATTTCTAGCCCTTATTATATAGTGTTTTTAAATAAGGTTGAAATTATAGTAAAAGGAAAAATAAAAACGTGATTGTAGTCAATACGTAGAAAATAGTTATTTAAACTTACATGTTTACTCTAGTAAAACGAAAAATAGGGTTACATTTTAAAAGGAAATTCCAGTTTCTGCAACAACAAAAAACAAAAACTTGTCTGATGTACACTTTATAACGTGATAACCTGCTGTACTATTTGAGTTAACCTGGTAAAATTAGTTTAATTTAAATTAGTCTATAAAGGTTGTTGAGTTTAAATATTACTAACTGAATAAAACCAGTTAATTTATATGTTACCATTCTTAGCCATTTTTTTTTTCAGTTTATAAAGTAGCCTACACACTTCAAAGAACACTATCGTGTTAAATATATGAATCTTAAAAAAGTCTATTGTAGGAGCACAGTGAAGTTGTTACAATTAAAAAAAATGTATTAGGGCAGAATTTAGTTTTTGCAAATTGAACTGTAACAACAATCTATTTTTATATACAAAATTATATTAAACGCTGCCATGCTCGTGTATATGCACACACAGAAAACCTGTCACTGGCACAAAACCATTTGAAAAGATACACCTTTATACCATACAGGTGGACATTAGTACGTTAAGGGTACACTTTTGTACCTATAGGGTATACTATGGGGTACACATTTGTACTTTTTGTGCTTTTAATTCTGATTCTGTCTACAAATTATACACTTCAAATAATACCACAGTACTGTTTAGTTTCAGTATATATATATATATATATATATTTACAAAATCAAAAATGATATAACATTTTTTTAAATATAGTGTTGTTGTGCCTCATGTTTTTGGCATTTTTTTCCAATGGTAGTAAACATCTATGTTACATAACATAACATAACACAACTGGGAGGAAATAAAATGTTTACCTTTTTGTAACTACGCACATTTTTAAAAGATGGTACTTTTATGTAAAACACTGTTAAATTCTATTACATTCAAGTAAAGATTTGTGGTATTTTGTCAATAGATTTGAATACCACAATATTACACTGAATTATGTTAAGTTTGATCATGTTGAACTTTATTTATCCTTCGATCATCCCAAATGCTCTAGTTATTTTCAAATCATATTTTAGTCATAATTAATATTCGCTTCTTCTGACTGTAATAAAAGACATTATCGTGTTTTTGTTTTAAGCCTTTGTTAGACAGATATTTGGTACATAACATGGCCTTAATTTCAACATCATCAGAAGTGTTTTCTAGCATTATTCATGTCATCCATCCCATGAATTAATTCTGAGTTGCTTTTGTTCTCATCAACAGGGTAAGAAAGGTCAGAAAAACAGCGCTGTTCTCAGACGCACAGCTTACCAGCGCTACACGAGGGCACCGAGTCTCTTGGCAAAGAGTATTCTAGAGGGTAAGCCTTAATTAATGCACATCTTATTAACACAATTGCTCCCCGAAAGGCGACATCAGGAGAAACTGGATTAGTTCACCCGTTATACCACAGAACCCTCTGTCGAAAATAAATCTGTTTATGTTTGTGTAAGGTAATTAAAATTATGCAAATGAATAGAGGAATTACAAAAAAGAAATTGGCTCATATGACTGCTCTGGACTTTGATTTTCCCTGGTGTGTTTCTCGCTGTGTCAACATTAAGGTCAAACTGATTTTATTGTTATCATAAATTTGAATAGACTTAATGTGCATTTCTTTGTTGCAGTAAAATGTTTAGAGAAGTTATACGTTATGAATTATATGAGTTCCACATGGACTATGAAATGGATTTTTAATTTCTTAGAATTATTTGTATGCCTAATTTCACAGTAATTAAGAAATACATTAAATGGCACTTTATGGGAGTTGTGTTCAAATTTGGATCATAACTGGAGGTTTGTTTTGAATTTGTTTTGATAGTAATCTTGTCAGTTAGGAATATATATTGTAAAAAATTATTATGTCGAAACATTTTTATTTCAAATAAATGTTGTTTTAATTGCAGTTCATTTTCTGCTAATCAAGGTATTCTAAAAATAGACCATGGTATTCTATTATACAGAAATACAGAGCAAATATACAGAAAATTGCAGCACAACAGTTTTATCCCTGGTAGTGCATTAAAAATCTATATTATCTTTTATACTATATTTTCACATTCTAGGTCAGGATGGACCCAAACAGTTGTTATTTCATAAAATAGTAATGATTTTTTTACAACATAAAAGCTAAAAGCATCGATTCAACAACTTATAATTGCTGATTAAATGCCACAATCTAATGTTGTAATCATTTTTAAATATTTTTTTTCTGTATTTTTGCAAACTTCATTGGATTTACAAATTACATATGAGCCATGCCAAAAGAACTATATGATGCAAATACAAAAATTGAGAATTATCAGTGTTAATGCCACCAAATTTCAATTGAATTTTCAAGTTAAATAAAATCCTTTAAATGTATATTTCATGATGGTTCAAAACGCTACATTTTCATTTATTAAGAAAAAAATATTTAAGAGGGATGCAGAGTACATTTATCAGAAAAATCCACAAAATTAATAAAAGTGTCTGAAATACCATATGGAAACACATTGCTGACAAATTTAAGTCTGTTCTTCTTCAGCTATCTATTATATTAGATATATACAGTTAAGCCCGAAATTATTCATACTCTTGTAAAATTCTGACGTAAAGGTACTTTTATTCAACAAGCAAAATTTTTTGACTGCATATTAAATAGGAATTTTTTTAACGACAATAAGACGATCTTCAAGAGGCATTTTTGCCAAAAAAATCTCAGATTTTATTTTACATTTGAACAAAACTTTATGAAGCTTGACTGTATCTTGTCTGAAGCTTGACTATATCTTGGTCCTAAATGACCCAAACATGAAAAATGTAACCTTTTAAAATGGTTGCTATTTTTTTTAATTGCTAAAACAAATCCTAAGTAAATTAAGTAATTGAAATCTTGACATGTATCTTCTTTTTTAGATCCAAATGGACCTAAATTTACTATAATGGTAAAAAAGTATTTTCTTATGCAGCAAATCATGATATTTGGCTGATTTCATAAGTATCATATTATACTGTATACTGGAGTAATGATGCTACAAATTCAACTTTTATCACAGGTATTACTATTTAATGATTTCTAATAATACAACTCTAATCACAAAATGTTGTGACAGAATGGAAAATGCAAATAAAAGATTTCTAAATTTACTTTGACTTGTTTTTTATTGTAGACAAACAATTTGTAATGTGTTCATCATTTATATATATATATATATATATATATATATATATATATATATATATATATATATATATATATATATATATATATATATTTCCAAAATAAACACATATTGCAATTTGGTTATTGCAAAACATTAAAAACAGAACTTTAAAGTTAGAACATTGCCATTCCTTTTCACAACACTCAAAATATGTTTAGGACCTGAAGAAATTAATTAATGAAGTGTTTCAGGTGTAATTTTGTCCCATTCGTCCTGCTAACAAGTCTTAAGGTGGGCAACAGCATGGGCTCTTTGTTGTCACATTTCGCAATTTAAAATGCACCACACAATCTCTATTGGAGACAGTTCGGGGCTGCAGGCAGGCCAATAAAGTACCTGTATTCTCCTCCTCCACAGCCAGGATTTTGTAATGTGGTAGAATGTGGTTTTGCATTGTCTTGTTGAAATATGCCTGGGCATCCATGGAAAAAAACAGCATATTGTGCTCCAAAATCTCTGTACTTTTTTAGCATTAATGGTGCCATCACAGAAGTGCAAGTTACCTTTGCCATGGGCACTAACAAAACCCCATACCATGACCGACCCTGGCTTTTTGACTTGTTGCTGGCAAGAGTCTGGATGATCCTTTTCTTCTTTGGAGCACATTGGGTCCATTTCTACCCAAAAAATACCTGAAATACTGAATTTGATCAAAGTACTGTACATGTTTCCACTGTTTGATGGTCCATCCCAGATGCCTCCGAGCCCAGAGAAGTCGATGTCGCTTCTGATCCCTGTTAACATATGGGTTCCTTTTGGCACAGTACAGTTTTCACTGACATTTGACATTTCACTGACAAAATAACTATGTATTTTGGTACTTGACAAAGGTTTGCCAAAATAGACCTGAGCCCATGTGTTGATATCGCTTATAGATGAATGACGATTCTTGATGCAGTGCCGCCTGAGCGATCGGAGATAACGATTGTTCAGCTTAGGCTTGCGCCCTTGATCTTTATGTACTGAAATTCTTAAAGATTCATTGAATCTTTTAATTATGTTATGCACTGTTGAAGGTGAAATATCCAAATGTCTTCATATCTTTCTTTGAGGAACATTGTTTTTAAACATTTCAATAATTTTCTCATGTGTTAGTTGGCAAACTGGTGATCCTCAGCCCATCTTTGCTCCTACAGCACTGGACCTTCCTTGGATGCTGAATTTGCACTAAATTATAATTACAATCCCCTGTTAAAATCATGCGTTTCAAATCACTTCATTATTTAACCAATTTACCTGATTACTAGCCCTAAAATGATCCTGTACTAACTTTTTTGGAATATGTTGGACGAGAAAGGATGTACGTTTACAAATGAAAAGTTGAATAGACAAAACATGAAATATTTTGTGTTCATATTGTCTGCAATGAAATACAATTCAAAGTACATTTGTAAATCACTATTTTCTTTTTTTATTTGCGTTTCCTTTTTTTCTGATTTGTGGTTGTATTTTGCAATATTAGACATTTTGCTGTTTGTTTATCAAATAAATGCAACTTTTGATGTTTATAAGATATTAATAACCTTAACCATGATGTTATTAATCTCAGAAATAATCTTCAAAAACAGCTTGAAATAGTCTCTGTGATTTTTAGAGCTACTCTTTTAACACTCCCCTTTCACGCTCTATAGGCTACAAGCCACCAGTACTGGAAGACTGGCCGAAGCGACTCCACCAACCCCCCGTGAGTGTTCGGATGAGGAAGAGAAGAGCGTTTGCTGATAAAGAGCTGGAGACGGTGATGCTGGAGAGAGAGCTGAGGCAGAGAGACATAGAGGAGCTGCCCTCTCTCCTCCTGCAGGCTGTGGTGCCCTCTGCCCCCTCCCCGTATTTCTTCCCGTTGTCAGACCCAATCATGCCCACATTTGTGCCTGTTTCCAAAAACAGCCCACCTTTGACTGACTGTGATCTCCGTCAACACGGGCTCAAATCTAAAACTCTAGACACACTGACAGATGACGTCTCTCTGAGAGTGTGCAAGAATTGGGACATTTTCAGTTCCATTCAGTCCCCATTGCAATGTTACAACAGCACAAGCCCAGGTGTCAACTTGGTTAAAAACACACCGGACAGAAGCTTTTCTGATTTGTATGTCAAACCAAAATTTGCAGTTGCTGACATCATGTCAAAGCAAGACATTCCTCCAATACTGAACATGGCGGATGTGTTGATACATGCAAAATCGCCACACAAACGCTGCAGGTCATTGGGACATGAGGCCTCTGTACGTTTGGACTGTGTGGAGGGTGCTAGTAAAGACCCCGTCAAAAAAGCTGTAACACGGCCATTACCCTTTTCTGTCGAGGCACTGCTCATGAGATAATATTTTTTTTTCACTTTATAATGAGGTTTAATTCATTAAAAGTACAAAACTTGACTTTTACATTTCAGTTAAGAACAGTAAAGAAGATTTTTAGCTAAAACTGTGGTCCTTGGTTATTCAGAAAATGCAAGTGAATGGTGCATAGAGTTAAACAAAAACACTCACATACAGAGCATACAACATTAATATAAGTGGCTCCTTTTGGTCTGGTTGATTTAGACTGTTATAAATACACTCAGGACCATTTGCTAGCTGTGGATGAAAGGTAATAGAGCTGATAACAATGTTCGTCTTCTTGCATATACTGACATTTTGAACTTAATTCATCAGCATGAGCATTGGGCCTTACTTTTGGTTTGCCTGTATATATTGTCTGACTCTGAAAGCACACACAGTTCTTGCATTTGCTCTTGCATTTTATGAAAGACCAAGTATTCAGCTAATGAAATCTATTTGTTTTACTCAAGAGAAAACGTCTTTTACGTATTGGATGTCAAGATGTTTAATGAACATAACACTAGCCATTTAACATAATTTTGTATTTATCATAACTGCATTCTAAAAACAAACTTAAAGTTTTACATTAAGTTAATGTTATGCTATTGTAAACAAACATTAATAATGAACAACACTATATTACAAATGTAACATTAACCTACATTAACAAATGTTGTTAAAAAGATATATAAAGAAGTCTTTGAGGATATTCGTAAACGGATGATAATAAATAAAACATTTTGTGACATTTTCAATTTAAAATTCACCAGAGCAGTGTTGGGGAGCAACTAACTGAAATATGTGTAGATTATGTGTCATCTAAGCAGCTGACATTTCTATTTCTACTACTAATAAAAATAAATGTTTTTTTTTTCTTAAAACAAGCTGCATTTCTCAATGATTTGCCAAAAATATGACACCACAGATTGTGTTAGATTTATTCTTAATATAGTCAAACAAAGTATCTAATATTTCTGAAAATTTCATATGAGATATATGTACAACATGGACTTCATGTAAATAAACCTGTTTAACAATTACCCAATACATTCACCATTCTTTCTTTGTGCAAAATGCCTTTGCCAAATTTTTTGACTGTATATATATATATATATATATATATATATATATGGATGATAGGTGTATTTTGTGCCAGCTTATACTTTAAGCTTTAAGGTGAAAGCTATCCAAAGGTTTAAGTTACTGGGATGTTATAAATATTTTGAACCACTTAATAATTAATATCATCAAAAAGTTATATCTGAAACGTGTATAATTTCATTGCCACCTCAAATAGCTCAGAATTAGTTTTGGGAGAAAAAAATCTGAGAAATTAATGGTACATTTCACAGTTAAACTTTTTTTAAATATTATTTTATTGCTAATACTAATCTTTATTTAAAGCCGATGATCAGTTTAGTAAGACATATTTTAACTTTTATTCATTCATAAGCAAAGTTGTTTAACTTTTGCAAAGTACTTTATTTTACACTTCTGTTTTGCATGTACATGTATATACTGGCTAACCCCTGAACCTCTTTTAACTAATGTATCTTAAATACTGTAAGTACAATAAGTACACATACTGTAAAATAAAGTGCATCCCTTTTTATATAATGCTGCTCAATTCAACGTAAAAATGCTGGGTTTTACACAATCAATTTGTGTTGGGACAACATGAAGGAATTTACAAATTTAAGTAAATTAAACATAAAACCATTGAAAATTTAGTAAACAATACATGTGTAGTTTCAGCTCATTTTAAATAACTAGGTTGAGCAAACAGCAAAAACGTTACACAATATACTGTTAAAGACCAGCATATTTGCTATAATTGACCATTTTTTTTGCTGTTAGAACAACATTGGGATTTTCTTACATACAAACCGTTCACGACTAACTCTGCTTTTTCTATTACATTATTCATATTTTTAAATTCAAACATTGAAGTCTGATGTAAACTCATAGGTAGCCGAGGATGAAATGAAAGAGTGTTGAAAAAGATTAGTTTCTCTCTTTCTTCCTTTAATGTGAATTAATGATGTCGCTCATACAGTGGTTGGATTGAAGTGATGGCTGCTACATCTGTGTATTTAAGCTACAGGCTGCTTTGAGCTGTGCTTTGAACTGCTTCTGTGGTGTTCATAAAATATTTTTTAATTTTAAAGAAAACTTACGATGAAAAGGGCTCTCACACACGAACCAACTCCAAGTGTAAAACTAAATAAGTGAGCAGAAAGATGTGCATGAGAGTTCAGAAAAAAAGTGGTTCTAATATAAAGAACAACCTATGTAGTGTTTTTTTCTCTTTTCTTTGTACATCTTAATCAGGATATCCCTAAAAGTTTTATTCCAGTAAGAGAATGTGTTGGTTCAGAGACATTGTGCAATATTTTTTGGAGCGTATCACAATCATGTAGACTGAATTATAGTTTACCCATGCAGACAATGTATGTGTATCCTCATTTTTCAATCCTTTCTTTATTTTACATTTCAGATCTGAGATAGGAAAGCTTGATAGTTTTGACAACTCTGGACCGCGTGGCGTCAACATGTGTGATGGCATCATGCCCTCCGCTGTGTCTGTCTCAATATCTCTGCACATCTACCAGCGTAGATAGGGGCTTCACATTAGGAGCCTTCCTGAGGAACAGTAGACTGAGCGGGGATCTCTGTGCTCTTGTGGTGCACTTTTTTTTTTTTTTAAAGTACAGAATAAAAATGTTTATATTATAATTATATCATAAACCTTACGTTACTAGAGGTCATAGCAAAATAAATACATAAAAACACACTTTATTGAAAGGGCATTTGGAAAATATATATATATATATATTTTAACTTTAGAAATGTCTTTAGAGTCCCCTTTCAATGCATTCTTAACAAAATTTTCTTTTATTTTCATTCTTCATACTTTTCATTTTTAAGAAAGTTTTAATAAAAAAATAAAATGCATCATTTGACTGATTTATAAAGTAAATTATATAGCAATTTAGACCTTCACAGGTTTTTTATCAAATTTTATAGTAGAAAAATGCTTCTTTAGATTTTAAAATGTTCTTCACAAAATCATTTAAATATTAAAAGAACTGTTCGCAAAATGGTTTTCAGTAATGTTTCTTCTATGACAGTGTTTCTCAACCACGTTACTGGAGGACTCGCATTTTCCATGTCTCCTTAAATCAAACACACCTGACTCAGATCATCAGCTTATTAGCACTGACTGAAAGACCAGTAATAGCTATGACAGACAATGGAGACATCCAAATCATGCAGTAAAGGTGGTCCTCCAGAAACATGGTTGAGAATCACCGTTCTATGATAATATAAATGCTTTCCCAGCAGGCAGTTATAGGAACTAGAGAGCCAATCCACCAAAACCAATTTTGTTTTACCTTAGGTCATTTTTTGTGGTGCATTTGTACCTTCACTTTGAAGAGATATAAGCCAACTGTCAGTGACACCACACAAAGCAGCCAAAAAATAAATAAATAAATAAACACAGGAGAATTAGGAATGACAAGTTGATCAAAATAGAATATTCATTAAAACTATATATCTTTAACTACAATATAATGTTATATTGACCCTGGGCCACAAAACTAGTCATAAGTCTTCCAATTCTGGAAAGTTGAAGTTTATACTTCACCTGAAATCTGAATAAGTTGAAAGCTTTCCATTGACATTTTAGTTTTTTAGGTTATGACAGTATTTGGCTGAGATATGATTTATTTAATATATATCTGTACCTCAGGTATATATATATATATATATATACCTGTGTCTCTGCACACTAATAGTGTTCAGTTGTACATCTCGCTCCGCCTTTTGGTATCCAAAAAGTGGTACAGTATGGTTTACTTTTTGGTACCTTTTGACAGTGGAAACGACCATAAAAGCGTACCAAACCATATCGTACCGTACCACTCAGACCATAAGCCATCTGGTGAAATCGTATATATATCGCAAAATAAAAAAATATCACAATGCCACATTTTTCCAATATCGTGCAGCACCTACTATATTGTGAATTTTTGCCTATTGTTAAAAACATATCTGTGCAACATAAGACTAATTGATTACGAATATAGTGAATATCTATTTTTAAGAGTAACGTATGCAGTTTCCTCTTGTGAGGGATAAACTTGTCGACAACAAAATTAAAACTTGTTTTATAACAACAAATTAAAGGGCTTTACGCACTCAACATTACATTCTCAGAAATATGCAAGCTGTCACTGGGGTGGTACCTTTTCAAAAGGGACACATTTGTACTTGAAGGCTCCATATTGGTACTTCAAAAGTATATATTAGTACAGTACCTACAAATTTTAAGAGGAAACTTCTGTACTTTTAGATACTAATATGTAACCTTGTGGTATTAATATGGAGGTGCAAATTTTAGGTACAAGTTTGTATCTTTTGAAAAGGTAAAACCCATAACAGCTTGCGTACCTTTATATCAGGGGTGTACAGAAAAAAAAAAAAACAGGTTAAGAACACATCCTTTGCACATCAATTCACCAACTCCGCCCCTAAGGGCAGTAGTAAGAAATAGATTAGAGATATGTTTTCAGCAAGGACTTAAAATATTCCAGTGAGTTACAGGATTATGATATGAGGAGGGAGGCTGTTCCAGAGTGTTGGAGCTCTTGGGTGAACAGCAGTGCTATACACACATACAGTACCGTATACTTCAGATAAACTTTTGGACATGGCGCTAAAAGAGGCAAATGCAAATTTCACGCTACTAGTGCTAAAGCAGACTCCACAGTTTACTAGTGGGCAAAATTGTTATTCTAAGACAGCACCCCTAGACCCCTTTCATTGTAGGTTTATTTATTCTCACAGTCTGCTCTAGCATGAAGTCACCCTAAGCTGTTTGTGTAATCGAGATATCAGCATATTCTTGCTCCTGACATGATATCAACAACATTTAGAATCAAGGTCCAAGCCTTTGAACCTAGTGCCAGCTTCCAACTCCAGCAGAATTTGCCAGATTG